TCTATTGTATCCTGAAAATTGATAATTCAGGATCGAGTCTATTTTCTGAATGATTTTTTGCATTTTATGTTTTTTGAAAGAAAAGAAATTAAGGTTTTGGCACTTTCACCAAAATCAACATCGAACGAGCATTAACCGAATTTCGTACGACAAAATTTTGATCGTTCCATCGACGTTCACTTTAACTTCCCTTCCTGTCACTTCCTCATCGACTTCTCAAAATACGACGAGCTTTTCCGTTTACGTATTTGCACGAAATAAAAATAGCTGAGTGATCTCCGAACGCGTGTGTCCTCGCTGAAAATGTACTTCTCGGCGCGGATTTAATTTCAACCCCGCAAACCTTCGAACGGTCTTGATGGATGGAAACAAACGATTAAGAGAAAAAGAAAAAAATAGAAGAGACGAAGAAGTGGCCGAGAACAGCAGTTACGGAGACAGAGAAACGTTCTGTGTTCCACGATCGATATAACCTTACATAGTATCGTGATGGGCGCATTGAATAGAGCCATCGGAGGAGGGAAATAATGCGACGCCGAAAGTGCTCTCCTTGTGTTTTTGTTTGCTCTGAAAACGGATTCTACAATGTCGCCATTTTGTGCCAGCAGAGGTCATGGCGTCGTGAGACGGCTCCGATTTACGAACCATTTAATTTACTACAAACAACCACCGAACTATAGATCTTATGCATTTACGGAATATTGATAGAATATAAAAATGTTTTCATCGTATTTTCAACAAATTAAATCCTGTAATTCTATAATCGACGAAGTGGCTTGGTTTTTTCTTTTCTAACCTACATATTTGAAATTGTACATAAAAAATGGAAAATTGTATGAACATCTGAGAATTGTGCTAAAGATTCTTAATTCAAAGTTTCGGTAACTGCAAAATTTTAAATTCACGATTTACAGTAATATATACGCGTCGGTATATCAATAATATACTTTAACTTCTACTACAATATAAATATGTCTTCCTGTCCTTGCTATTTATAAAAATGGCGCAGGGTGCTGAGAATCCCGATAAGCATTATTAATTTACCAATTTTGGTAAAACAATTGGTGAATTACTAATCGGAACACCTAATACACGATTATGTGTACAACACACGACTCCGCCACTTTTGTTCTTAAAAAACATCCTTACTGTAATTCAAGTTAACCATAAATAGAAGTATTGTTAGATGAGCCGTTCACAGACCAAAGTGACTAACTCCATTTTTTTCCAATTTCAATGTCAAAACACTTGATTGCTGCTCGTACTTCTTACAATTTAAAAGAAATTTTAAATATAAATTTTCCAGAGTTAATCACTTTGGCAAATTGAACGGCTCGGATACCACTGTAAAAAACATAACAAAATAACAAATTTAATAAAATATTCACACAGACCGTATCCTCTTCATTGGCCAACAGTACGAAACCACTTGTAGCAACGACAACTTTCTGTTGTCCACGAATTAGCCCGCACTTGTGACACGATCGAACATCTTCTGCACTAAAACACTTGACAGACAAAGATACAAGCGATCGTAGGGCGACGAGTAGAGAACGACTGTAACGTCTGTAACCGTACAAGCCGTTTTTCAGAAGAAACTACCACGAGGACGGCCTAGCCAATCGTCGAAGGGCAGGGAAGGAGGGGGTGGAAATGGAGGTAATAAATACCCGTTTTAAATCGTGCCGGCGCGTAACAGCAACTTGGACAGGGATTAAAAGATTAACGCGGGATCGACGAAACCTGAAGAAATTCCGGGAACACAGAGGCAAACAATCTTCCGGTCGATTCATTTGGATTTAACGATCGGAAAGAGAAAACTCGACGCAGTTATTGGCCGAAAAATAAAGACGCCAACGAAAGAATGAAGTTGGAACCAGGGCCCGATCAAGTCTGTCACCAGAACCGAGAAGATCACTCGCTTCAACCGAAAGAAAGAATTATTTATAGCTCTGAAAATATTAATTTCTTAACCTAGGTATCAGGACTTTTTTTCATCATTTGTCAAATACTATCTACCCCAGAAGGTATGAATCCTTTTTTCCTTTCACCCTGCATACACACGACGTCTAATGACGCCTGGAAGACGGCTTAAAGGCGCCTTAGACCTAAAATAGCTGCAAAATGGTCGTCTTCAAGACGTTATGTGCTATCTGGGTATGAACCAGTCATTTCCACTGCTTTGATAGTTCTACTGTTCACTGCAACATGGTTTAAAACAATAGGACGTAATTGTAATATTCCTAATCTTCCGCAAAGGTAGTATTAATACAGGAAAAATATACTATTCTAACTAAACGAAACACACGGATGTAGAGTGAACTATTCATCCTTTGTTCCAACGGACATTACCTCGATGCGGCCATTGGGACCGCTGCTTAAAACCATCGCGAAACGAGTGTCTGTGGCACCGTATGTAGACATCGATCGACACAACTTTCGCGTTCTAAGTCCCTGATACGACGTAGAGGATAAAAAGAGAAACGGAAACATTGACGGACGGAACCACCACCCCTCCGATGTTTCAGTTCATACGAATTCTGTCGTGGCGCATTAGGGATTGTCGGATCAGAGGACACGTTCTGGAAGTTCGTGAAATCTATGTGGGTCGACGACGGTAAATAAATATAGCCTTGCTCGATCGCGCGAAAAACGTTTCTCCCGTCCGTCCCGCTGATCATACCGTGTTTTTATTGGCTCGACAAGGCGCGCAAAATAGAGAATTTCTTGACGCAGATCGACGTATAGTCAAGGTGGAGTACCTACTGTTTGGCTGGTATCGAGCGCTACCGGATAGATTGACGATCATCGTCCGGGCTCGAATCGAAAACGTTCTTTCGATTTAACCCTGATAGCCTCGTGGCTTCCTTTCTTTCCCCTATTTTTTTCTGTTTAAAGAACTTATTTTACTTCTTGGAACGATCGATGCTTCGAACTCTAGAATTTGTCGTTTTCCAATAGTTCGAAAACTCTTGAGAATCTGGATCAAACTGGACCTAGGGCGTCTGAGGATTTAGATAATATTCAACGGTCGGGAGTATTTCGGACGATTTTACGATCACATCAATTGGATTATTTTTCTTGAAAAGGGCCATTAAGGTGATTGACAAGATATGTACCTACTGAAAGCTAGTGACCGTAACGATGATCTGCTAATGAAGTACCATTGAAAGGTCTAGTAACGAGGTAAAAGGCGATGCTGGATCATCTGTGGCCCTTGGTATAGTGTCACATGTAAAGATCAATTAATAAACGTCTCTGTCGTATTATTGTCTTAATATTTGAATCTTTGATTTCCAATAACTTTCTTCTTTAATCAGTATTGTTTATAGTTCCTAGGAATTATTCAAGGATACACGGGGAAACTAAAAAACATACACTGCTGACAAACGTTTGGAATTCATGATGATTGTGAAACATGAACAGATGATTTGTCTAGGCATTGTAAATTCATTGTCGTGAATTGAAAGATATTCCAATCGTTGTATAAAAGCGTACCGGTGTATATTGACCCAGATCCATCAACAGGCGTTTAAATATCGACGAGTGTCCCTTTTATACATCTAAATAACCGTTCACTCAGGCTAAGAGTGGATGAAAAGGGGTAATTAATCGTTTACGAAAGTAGATCGAAAAGAATTTCGATCGTCGACATATTCAAAAATAGGTTCACCACGAGTCATCCAAAGTGTTGTTAACCCCTAATTTCAACAAAATACTAGACTCTATAGGCCCTTCATTCCGCTAGAAAAACAAATCGAGCACAAGATCATAATTCCCAAGAAACGAGAATAACCTTCTAACCTGCTTGAACTTGAACACCCGAAATAGCAAAGGCCTGCAAACACCGAAACGTCTTACATAACCTTAGTCGTATAGAAGATCCACGTTGCATGGAACACTATCAACACACCACCGACTGCACGACGTCTTGGCACATTTTATCCCCCACTCATAAACATATATACACTTCGTCGAACTATTTCACGATTTTCTATATTCTATACACATTGTTAATTACTAAAATAACAATTTCAGAACAGCACCGATGTCACCGAGCGTGTGTGTAGGAACTGTCATCGAACGATCAAGAAGGAAACAGTGACGGATGTTTCAACACGTTAAAGCGCCGAGCTGATTTTCATAACCTTTCCATTCACGTCACGCTATGCAGATGAACCTTACGATATCCATAGTTGTTTACAAATGTTAGAAAATTCCACGAGAAAATAAAGAGAATTCAAAACGATATGGAACGGATAGTTTTGTATCGGTCATCGATGACCAACGCGGCGTGAAAGGAAAGGTTACGGCACTTGACGCGTAAAGGCCCGTTTACATGTTCAAATAATTCTGCGCGAACTGAGTAATGCATTCACATTTGTGCAAGAAAATGTTTATTCTATCAATTTTTGATTAATTTTCAATTAACATTCTAAATTTAATTTAGTAAATTACGTTTATCCAATGTTTTAAATTGAAATCTATACGTTATAGAAGGTATAGATATTAAAAAAATCTAATTTTCATATGCCACATATCATTCTTCTTATCATTCAAAATTCGACTTTAATAGTTACAAAGTCTCTCAAATGTTCATTCATTGGTATGTTTACCCTACACAAGAACTGAAAAGTTCAGGGTGCTTTCATAATTACGCCACGCAGTGTACATATGTATATTGTATCGTGTTATTTTGAAGTCGAAACTATCGATATTAAACTAACCTATTCATTTGTATTTTCTTTTCTATTAATTTCTGGAGGGAACACTTGAATTTCTCAATCGAAAACGCCGAGAGCATCTTCACATCGGTGCAACTACGTATCCTTGCTGACGAAACTTAAACATTAACCGGCGACAGAATGCGAAGCACATTTAAAAATCGGCGTTGCACCGGTTCAGAAAATTGTTAAACCAATTATTTTTTTACTAATTAAAACAAATTACAAAAAATTGCAACCGGTTGGAGTAATAAAAAGGAAACACGAAAAACTCACCCTCGATCGTGGTCAGTTCCGGCGGATCGGTCTGCCCGAACGCCAGTTGATCCTTGACGATCCACCACGAGACGAGGACCGTGCAGAGGATCCTGGCGACGGACGTGATCCTCTTCGTCCCATAGACGAACGACGTCGGGCACGTCGTCGTCGTCGCCGTGGCGTCGTCCTCGTATCCGTGCATCCTCATTCACACGTTTCGCCTCGATCTCACGCGGCGTGCCACTTCTCGCGCGCACACCCTTTCTTGCTCTTGCTCTCTCTCTCTCCCTTCGCGGCGATTCCCTTCAATTAACGCATACGTGTGGCGGTATGTATGAACACGCGGTGTCGAAGGAGTATCAGCAGCAACACACCTGCACACGCAGGTCGAGCCTGCCGTACCCGTTTCCGGTATCACATATCCGTTGGATCAGGCCGCGTGATCGATAGCACGCGCATATCTCTCCCGTACCGCCACAGTGTGATGTCAGCCCCCCTGTGTGTCAGCCTTTCCCCACGTAGCAGACGATCCGAGGATAGGTATAGTAGTAGTAATAGTAGTAGTAGTAGTAGTAGTAGTAGTAGTAGTACTAGTACCTGCCACCGCGGGTGTCTCTTCTCTCCTCCGCCCCGTGGTGTGTTTGGGTGTGTGCGCGTGGTGTTTGCGTGTGCACGTCTTCTTCGAGAGCCTGTTCTGCCGGTTAGAGGAGAGAGAATCACGGTAGGTGGGGTAGAGGAAGCGGAAGCGGGTTCATGGGACGCGATCGACCTGTCCTGCGGCAGCAACCACCACCACCACACCACCACCACCGCCACACCACCACCACCACCCTCTTTTTCACCGTTCGAACGATAGATTCATGGAAAGAGATCGTGTGCTTTTACGGAATTATATGTGTACGATGCCCCTCTGAACCGACACGAACGCCTCCTTAGACCTCCCGTCGACGGATTCGCCGGCGTGCTGCCACCGGGAATCGACGTTGCGTAGATCGTCCGACGCAGTGGAACCCAGCGTCGTCGTATTGTCTTCGTAATCCCTACCTCTTTGGGAATACGTGTCTCCCACGAGGTGGCTCGAGACCGCTCATGGAACAGTTTTTGGGGATGCACGGTGTGTGGAGGGAGGGGGAAGGGAGGGTTGGAGACTCGCTAGATGAAAAACGACACACCACCACCGAGATGATGCTCTCTGCACACCGCCGGCCGAACGAACGTTCACGTTGTGGCAGAGCCAGCAAACAACGACCGTTGTCGTCTGGCCTCCTCAGAACCAAGGGGGTAGGGTGGCAGCGCGAGACGCCAGGGCGCCCGACGTCCTGCGCAATGCACGCGAGGCGAACCAGCACACGCGTTTTGCAACCACCCAACCACCCACTCGACCGCCCCCCACCCCCTGGCATCCCCCTTCTACTATTACGCCGTAGGCGGCCGCCGCCGCGTTCAACGATGCAGGGGCGCAGTGCTTCTGAGTCATTCCTCGCGAAACACCCGTCGATGTTCCGCACCGCGGCGTAAATATACATGATCCTCTAGGTGAAAGAACACGTCGTCGTTGTGACTACCCCTCTAGAATCGAGGGACTGTACCCCTTCGCCACGGATGACCGTTATGAGAGGAGGGAAAAATGACGACAGTTGGAAATATAGATGTCGAAATTAGATGAATTTTTATATACTGGAAGTCTGTTCGCGCGGGGTGATGAGGAATGAGTGGGTAAGTGGCTTTTATTCGCGAGGGACGGTTTAACCCCTTTGCGATCTGCACATTTCTCTGGTGGCATTACCTATAACTAGTCGAAGGGAGAAATAAATATTTACAACTCCTTTCGATCGTAAAATAACACATTTTACTAGGGGAAAAAGAGGATGTCTGCCATAGTGGTGACACCGACTTTGAGGAGAAATTTTAAATGTCTCCACTGTGGCGACACCGATCGCAAACGGTTCAACCCTTTCGCCTGAAAGTTACGGTACCCGAAACTAATTCTTGCAACGTTATTAGTGGAATGAAGATTTTATGGATTTATGATGCACAGTTAGTAGGTATGGCGTAGTGTATACGCGCGACGGAGATTTAACCCTTAACTACGGACCAGTCGTCTCGGAGATGAATAAGCCGACAATTACACTGTGGGACACTTTTTAATAAGAAACGGAATGATATTTTTCTTTACTGTTTTTGGAAATGATTGTGTGTCACTTATGTTCTGTGAATTGAAGGCACTCAAACGCCACGAAGGTGGACGCAAATGAAAATTTACTCACTGTTAAGGATTCTAGTAGGGTTGAAATAAAAAGAGAACCTGAACAAACTTTCTGAATCTTTTTAGTATGCTGAACTTTAGAACGTCGGATATTCTATAAATGCATAAAATCCGCAGTCTATTTATGAGTTTCGGAAGTTATACTGCTGATCGATACTGGTGTCACAGAAACAGCGAATACTATTTATGATATGTACGGAGTAGATGTAAATAGGATGCGAATGTGTGAATTAATCGATAATGGGAATCTGGAACGATGTCAAAGATGTTAAAAGAGAATATAAATATTCTTAGAAATAAATCCGCGTTAAGTATGACAATGCGTGTTTCTGCAACACCCATTGGTATTATGGTACCGACGAAGCTCGTTTCGGCTTAATTGTCTATCGTCCAGCGACGTGTAACACCGCAATCGTGGAACGTGTCTTGCAAGCAAACTCCGACGAGCAGCGTTAACCTTTTATTGAACCCGAACCAACGACCCTAACTCAACAGTGGCCGTTCACGGAGCTCGATGGTGAACTCCCCAGGGTCGTGTGTGGTGATCCTTGTATTGTGGCGATCGACGTTATTGGTTGAGAAGGGGATCGAGTACTTTGAAGACTCGTAGGTCGCAAACGTGGTGGGTCACTTCTGAAATTGTGGAACTTCGTTGTGACCTACAGTTACTATTCTTACTATTATGTACTATATAATACTATTTTAATCGTATTCGTAACGATTCTTCAGCATCCTATACACCCTATTTTGTCCTCAGCGGACAATCGAGAAGATATTTTCAAATTAAAAACACCGTTCCATAATTTGAAAACATGCTTCTGCATCTCGCAACAATTCATTGAGGGTGCTTGAAATACCTCGGTAATTGTCTGGATATTATATTCTTTGTTGAGTACCTCCTGGAATTGAAAAACCACGGAATAATTCCTAGTTTTCCAACAAGCCGACAATACATCGACTGAAAGTGTTTTTGGCGAATGCACAAAAGCATTATACGTTCCCGCTCAGAGGTACTAAAGAAGTTAAACGACTTCATTCTACATACTGTTGCAGTAATACAATCACCAAGTGAGTAAAGATGGCGGCCATGTTGGATTATATCTGCGTACATACACACCGCTTTAACCTGCAAAGTATCTATATATTTCAATGCCAAACCTGTAAACGTTGTTACAAATAATTCATAGTTACTCTTATTATTAGTACCTTTTAAAAGAATTAACATTACATAAACGTCAATTACTATTCAAAGTCCAACAGCGTGATCGTACGATAACCTACAAGAAACGGCTGTCGATAACCAACGTATTCATGGATAAGATCCGATACAGATACGAACCAATTCATGGACTCTAATAAGAATTCCAAAATTCGTCCGAGTCTATATCCGACAGGAGCAGGCTCTTCGATTATAGAACTCCGGATTATTGCTTTTCGTTGCAACATGGGCCAGCTATCAAACAGTTATATCAGAGAGCTCTGGAGAGCTCTTAGATGAACCTTTGCCCGCGGATGGTGTCGTAAAGTATCAACAAGAGTCGGCTCGAAAATCCCAAAGCTTCCCTTACATGAGAACGACCCACTTTTACCGGATGGGTTTACGTAACCAGTCCCGCGATCCTTTTGCCCGCGTAAAAGCGTGCTGAGTTCCATTAACGGCCGTCCGGTGAAGAAACGTCGAGGGACCCCCTTTAGGGAGCATGTCGCACGATCGCCTTGTCCGTATCAGTCCACGTGTCCCAGCATGGGGACCAGTAATCACGCTCCTTAAATACCAGCCGGGACTGAACGAGTTCCCTTCCGATACACGAGACTGGTACTCGCCTGCTTACCACGTTGGCCAGCTACTCGAGACCTCACCTCTGCGACCTTTGCCATTATTGTTCACAAGTCCTCTGCAATGAGTGTTCCAATAGGGTTGGTTTTGTCTAAAATGATTTTCTGTAACTGAAGTATAATGAACCACCGTTTGATGGTGCGGTAATTGTGACATGTTTATTGTCAATTAACTTTCTGTTGAATGACTGATTGGATGCGAGGAACGTACAGGATACGCGAGTAGAATTGGCGCAAGTTTGTTGTAAGATTTCCTATAAGTCCTACAAGATGCGGTGTGGGCAGCTTCTTACTGAAAAGATAAAAATGGCACGACAACGGTAAGAAAACAGTTTCGTAAAGTCTGCCCGAGAGATAGATAATTCTCATTTAATACCACAAGCAGAAAAAAAAAAACTTGTTGAGTGAAATCGATTGGACGGTGGAACTACCCAGGTCTTATCCCGGTTTAGGCCCCTTACCGAGCATAAACCACGCAATTACACCACTGGTTGAAATGTCGCCTCAGGGCGAGACGTATTGCCGCGGGACGGTGAACAGGTCGTGATAAATCTGCGAACGATCAATCCGAGGGTTGTTACGCAACTGCGTATGACAGATCGCGGAACCTTCTCTCAATCATAATAGAAAGTAACCGATCGTATATGTGTATTCGGTTGCTGCTTTATTAACATTGTTTTTATTTTCGAACGCACTACATTTCGTCCCTCTAAGAACCATGGACGTGGCCAGGCTGTCAGTCGGGAGGTGGGGAGCATAATTTATCTCAAAGCAAATTTTATAGTATCACTTTAAATAGATTTTAGATTTACTTTTTGTATACAAAATATTAGATAATATAATATATTTTTTCTGCTCTGGGGGTGGGTGTAACATTTATCTCTTGGCAAATGTCATAATATTACTTCAAATGGATTTTAGATTTATTCTTGCATACAAAATGTTAGTTATTATAATAGAATATTTTTCTCCTCTTGGGAGGGGGATAAAATCAAAATTTTTCCACTAGGGTAAAGCAAAGGTCACTTTTTCCTCTAAGGGGGGGGGGGTACCCCTTCCGGTCCTCCTGGTTACACCCATGGCGAGAATGTGTAATACTTTATAAACGTAATTAGAGATAGAGTGATAATAAACGTAGCGAGCGTTCAAGTCAACGCGTAAATACATGTCTTTTTAATAACAAGGACCTAAACAAATGTATCTTATCGTGATACTGTCCCAAGAGTAAAGACTATGAGGTTCAACATATTAAGCGTGGGATCGAGAAACTTGTAACTCGTTGGTCATCTATCGACACAAATGAATGTTTCTTAGGTTAACAATTTTCTGTCAAAAATATGTCGTAATCGTTTAAACTCAACAGTTAAAAAGGGACATTTATTGTGAAAGAATCTAATAATTCTTCTGGCGACCGGTTGATACTTCAACAGGAAAAGAAGACAGTCCTGTAAAATTATTAGCATATATTATATATTAAAATATACAATGTACAACATCTTTACACCTTCGCATCCTCAAAAATGCGACTTCCGGTCGAAGATTCATCGATCACAATAATCTGTGTCTTAACAACATAGATCGAGGAATTTTATTGTTACCGTAATTTTATAAGTGTTGCGTAGAAAGATGTCCTTATATATATATATACGTACAAGAGTGCTTATTTATTTGGACGAAGCTACCAGATTGGACCAATAGGTTGCGAATTCTTTTAAAATGGTGCCGCTGCAATCAGAAAAGGAAGTACCTATAGATCGGTTCTTAATGAGAACTTCTTATTGTAATTTCGATTGAATGGTCGATCTATGCGTAAATGTAAAATATTCAACTGTTGACACAAATGTCATGGTGTTTAACCCTTCGGGTGGCGAAGCACACCAAAACTAGATTTTTGTCGTATATTGCGTACTTTACGCAAACAATACTTCTTATATATTCATCGCGCAATTAAATCCCAATGTTGATTTTCTTTCAAATAAAATCATTTAAGTATTCTCATATTAAACATAATTCCGATAATGACATTTCGCTGGACGCATAGGCGCTCCCACGGCGCTCGAAAGGTTAAACGCACCTGCACTCAATTCATATACACTCTTCGATATCTTACAAACAATCCATAGACCATTCGTCTCCACCTTAATCCTCACTAACTACATATACAGCGACATAAACGTTCATATATGCTCCGAATCTACCCAACGATTTTCAGAGGATTTACAAAACGCGTGACACAGATACGAAACGAACAAAGAAAATGAAAAACAAAAAAAAAAAAAGAAGGAAACGCGTATTTAGGGGCGAACTAGGTGAGAGCTAGTTTTCGTGGTTCTAGTAGCGAGTTTTCGTCGACCGTGGAGAAAAAGTTGCCCCACGATTCAACGTGAATATACGTGTACATTTTAAGGCCAGGGGAGGCCAGTCCGGTCGGCACCTTTGCAGACAGCCACGCGAACTTTCCGACCTGTAAATGCACCGTGGAAATTCTCTGGCTTATTAGAAAGCTCCCCGCGCAACGGTGGGACCAATTATTCCCGTTGACCGACGCCGTACAATTAGTCTTATTGCGTTATCCCGCTGTCGAAGTGGAAATCCTTCGTTCGCGACGGCAGTGAACGGGGAGAACTCGATGGCCGATTGTGAGCAGGCGTGCGCACGGGACATAAATAATAAAAGTTTGCGAAACTGTAGGAGGTAATTTCATATATATATAGGGTGGAGTATGAAACGTGATCAGCTTAAATTATTCTACTGCTAGCTATTCGATCGTACATTTTTTTACATCCTTAACCATTTGTCTTATGATATTTCTGACGTCTTCGTACGCCGCAGTTACTTTATTATTAATAACTAGACTGCGGATTTTTGTGCAAAATGTCAATTTCTGAAATAATTCATAAAGACAAGAACCAATGTAGGAATTTCCTTCTTTCCTTGAATATGGCATTGGATTCAAAGTAAAATAGAAAATTTGTTACATTTGATCAATCAATTACTTTTTTCAATCTTTTATTTTTCCATATATATAGTAACGTATCTATCGTATAAAAACGGAATTGGGTATATATGTATAATTATAACGTTTATCACGAACGACCACTTTGTCTATTTGATCGTTGAAACATAACGACAGAATAACGTACTTACACATTTCTATTTTAGTAGCAAGAGCACACGAAACAAAAAAAAAAAAGGGTCGAATTCATCCAATACCTGGATCGTTTAATCGAGAACACGTTATCGCGGGAATGGAAACTTCTGTTAGCCAGTTAATTCCAATTTGGCCGCCGTTAAAGACTTTATTTGCGTAGGACGCTGACCACACGGAAGACCGCGTGTATGTGTGTGTGTGTGTATATGTCATTATTTAGAGGGTGCGACTGGTAATTGGTATTCCAGTTCGAGCTTGTCTTTGATTAACGCTTTTTAATTCTACTGTTCCACCGTGGACGTGGTAAAAGCCGCCCCGAGCTGTTTTGCGAACGGCCGAACGGACGAAGTATGTATGTATATGTATATTTATATGCACAATGTTGCACAATGTTCCGCACTCTGGCGAATCGATGTATAACTATGTAGAATGATGTAATAGAACACGCGTATTATAAGGCGAACCTGGCCGCGGTGTTTCTCAATTTTTCAAGAATATAAACAAATACTGACAACTGTTTAAATTTGCAATAACGCTATTTTATAATTTTAAACTAATTAAAACTTTTAAGTTTGACATCGTGATGAAATGTAGAATGAAGACTAATACGATGTTTCCTTCACGGTCTTTTGTATAATCTCTCAAATAAAAGATAAATAACAAAAAAGCAAAGGTAATGGTACCTACTAAGCAATTAGTAGATTTATCGATTTAAAGAATTCTAGACTATAGAATTAATATTTAAACCATTTTGATTTCATTCTTCGATTCAACACCGTCCCGAGATTTTACTTTTCCTCGCGGTAATAATGGAAATATTGTTAACGTTCCAAAATATACCTATAATGTCAAGCCCTTCTTTCTACTTTATCAATATTCACTTAGGATAGAAACAGTATTACAGCTGAAGAAAGTAAAGTTCACAGAAGAATAAAAATATACATAACCTAGAAAGCAAAAAAGTATCGAATTCTTTTTTGTGCTAAAAAAAAGACGTGAAAATAACGAAACGAAAGTGCCGAAAAAATTGATCCTTCTTCGAATTTGAATCAAACTCTTCGACAAAGTGAGACAAAAAAAAAATTGCTGTACTCACGTGAAGTACACCCTTCCGCTTGCGTTCGGCGGTGCATTCCAAACAAGTGTCGCGTGCTCCTTTACATCTCGATCAGCGTGCGTCACGGCGCTGCATTCGGGATGGGTCTTCGTGTTCTCTGTTTGGGCCCAGGAACCGATCCAGCTATCTGTAACGGGGTCACGTGCCTGGAGGAAGAATCCTCGGAAAGTCGAGTCACTGATGGTTACTGAAACGAAACGAACATAAAAACGTCGTTCATTTCGTTGGATAACACTCATAATCGCCAGCGAAAAATCTTCAGGTGCCGCGACACAATAAAACCGAGAGTAGAAATATTTTCTATTTATTCGTCACTGGACCGCAGATTTTATGCACTTCTAGCCTACAAAGCTCTGTGGAATACAATCAAAGACAAAACTTTCATCAGTTTTCTGTTTTATATTCATAAGACAATAAAATACGTGAGAAAAGAAAGAAACACACCCACTTTCTTGCCTTCACGAATGACATTATAAAATGTTATTTTATCGCATCACCGTTCAATCGAGTTTTCTATTCTCCTTTTTTAGCGTTTCGTTTCATTGTATTATCTAAATGAACGGTTTTTTATTTTTCTTATACATACGATTCACGGCGCATCGGTCGCCATCTTGTTTCGTAACAGGCTTCCTGTCCGCTTATTAATTATATCTTTTGTCAAGCTAGAGATTGTTTTTCGGTTATAACTTTCTCTTCGCCGAACTACTTAAAGTGCTTCTTAACTACTTTTTGTTTTAAAGTAAATCTCCGGCAGAAATTAGAAATAGTCGCTTAACTTTCAACAGAGTTCTTGTTTCGCTTTTTGTGCGGATGGTGGATGGATGAGAGAAAAAAGTTCTTGCATAATTACCTGTTCGAACTCCGATGGAATTGAGTAACTCGATGTAAACTTTCATTATTTATTACCGGTTCCGCATGTGGAATGCTACGATCAAGGTTCTTCAACTTTGTTATGCCACGGGGTCAATTTTAACCATATACACACATTCAAATGGGTTTCTTCTGTCCCCTGTTTCAATCTACCGGTGCTTTTAACGGAATGAATACTTATTGAACTTAATTTCCATCAGTACTCTAAGCATCGACTGGCTATTTTCGCTTGGCAAGACACTTGGGAAATGACGTTATTCCATTTATTAATCAAACGTTTAAAAAAAAAGGAAAGAATCCTCTCTAGAAAATATGCTCTTTTCTGATCACAAAATGCCTAAAACGTTAAACTGTCAAGCTTAATATATTTTAATGAATACCTTTGCATCAAAATTGGTTTCAGCTTCATTTCTGTACAATTATTAACTGTATTTACAACTTCTGTACAATGTCAACTTAATTTTATAATCATTAGATTGATAATTGAATTCTTACACGCAGATAATGATTGTTCATTTTCACTGTGTCTGCAGTTGCTTTTCCACTTGTCTGTTCTTCTTTTTTTTAATAAGCTCAACGTGTTCCTATAATTACCACGGGAAATTAGACCTGTCATTTGTTTTGCTTCATATCGCTGGTCAGACGCGTTCCAAAGTGTTCGTGCCTTTTTTCCTTTTCATCGTAATTTTCGATCGATACACTGTATTAGAGACGGTGTACAAAAGCGGCGTTCTACAAAGGGCACAATGAGAATGGCTAAAAAGAAGGCGACCCGTGGTTCGATCCGCACTTCACTTTCAGGTACAAAATCCTCAATGTAATTTTGCGATACACCGTAATTTAGAAAATATTAATTTACTGTAAAAACATCGTGTATTAGATAAAATCGTATCGTCACAGGATCTTTATTTTTCCTTCAAATACCTAATTATAATACGCAAGATGGAAAAAAAACTAACACGATCGACCGTACATTTTCAATATCGCTCATTTACTGCAACAATGGCGTAACTTAAAAGTCGGTAATTATTATATTCTCTTTTCCTATGTACTATATACGTTTTTTTACTATTACATACTTAATTATTACAAATAACTCAGTTTTTTAATTATTAGTATAGAAAAAACAGTTGTTGTCGGCTGTAAAATCGGTTAATAACTTTTTGGCGTTATGATTAGCACCGTTTTTACAGTGCAATGTTAGAAATATTAAAAGAAACTTTTCTTTTTACTTGTTTGAATGTATAATAAATAAAGGCAAGCAAGTTTTTCTTTACCACAGCGTCTTTGCTTCTCTTAACAAAAATTCCCAAATGTCACCTTTTTCTCGAAGCCGCTAAAGGGGAACGGGGCCTTGAGTGAACGGCGATCGTATTCAAGAATCTCTTTCGTGTTTATAAATTCAGTTCCCGACACACCGAGAAGAATGATTAATGCAAGAATCCAAGATACATCTAACAATTCCGCGACGTGTGGCTAATGGGATCGAAACGGGTGCAACGAAAAGTGCGCAAAAGGTTATCGAAAATACGCGCGGCGATCGGATTACAGTAAATCCTCGATGAGTGTTCGAAGGTTCCTTGGAGCTGAATATTATATATTCTATAAACTAATGGCCATATGTGGCTGAAACAAATACCATTGGCTTCAGAATTCCAAGCTCTATCGCTGTGCTATACCTCATTAAGAAATTAACGTTATACTTAAGGACTTCTGCTTGTCAATGCCAAGGAGCCTTCGAACACTCATCGAGGAGTTAAACGACGTGAAACTTGCAGATCTCCCGGATAAACACGCACAGAGAAAATACCAGATAATTTCGGGACACGGTGATTTCACGTAGTCGGGATCGCCTAGCGTGATCCACGGATAGAAACGGATTCTTTTCCGTCGACAAATCCCCACGTTCCGACTATTATTCCGTCGATTGAACATGCAAAACCGGCCCCGCGAACCGTAGAATGCCCGATTGTTAGGCGTTTCCAGGACCCCGTGTGTTCCGTCCCGCTGATTGGATCGATTGTTCGACACTGACCTCGTCCGTTGCGTTCGTCTTTCTCGCCTCGATCATCGCCCCTCCCCGTCATACTGGTAATTTAGGATCGATGGACAGCCAAACGGCCCAGGTAACACGGAACACCTGAGATTAACTGTCCGTTGGAAAATTCCACGGTCCATCGGAAAAGCTCTAACAAAGGAAAGCACGGAAGTGTACCCCTCCGATTTTCATGAAACTTCGTATGTCTGTTAAGCAGTCAAAAATAAGGAATACGTATTTTTTTTTATCGGCTGAGACGCGACTTTAAGGGGTGAAGCCACCCCTCGAAGTTTCGACCCGAAAGTACTATCTCGAAAACTGGAGGAGATACATGAAAACTTCTAATAGACGAGGTTTGCGGTTTTTTATGTAGAATAATATGGTGCTAACAAATTGTCCACAATATAATTTGTTTATAACAAAAAAATTTCGGATCGAAACTTCGAGGAGTGATTTCACCCTTTAAAAAAAAATACGTATGCCTTATTTTTGACTGCTTAACTGACATACGAAGTTTCATCAAAATCTGATGGGACACTTCCGTGCCTTCCCTTGTAAGTATACTTGTCGTTCTAACGGCACAACGTGGATAACTATACACTTTTAAAAAGCAGCACCACAGCTGAGAGCTTAAGCAGCTTTTACCTTGTTACATGATTATGCATAAAGTCTGCAATTTATTATGGAGACCCGAAGGGAACCGGGCATGGAAATGACAGCGTTATTATAAATTATAGATGATGAAATGACTCCCGTACAACGACTCCATCGCGGAACAAACTATTTCATCGCCCGTAAATGTGAGAGCGTTAATTACAGAACTTTAAAGCGTACGCTTACCGTTCGTAAATAATAGTCCACCCATTGAAGAAGCGTTTACCTTTTTTTTTACTCTATGCTTCGCTTTGGGAAGTTTCAAGTATCATGAATAGACCGCGGATGTTTATGTATATTCACAATTTCAGATACTAATAGACTACGTGACATAACTATCAAACCATCCTGAAATTTTTCATCCTTACGTATTGTAGTTAAAATAAAAACGAACCACTTATGCCGTTTGTTCTTACACGATTCAAATGACGATTTTCTTAAAAATGAAAGTTTATGTACAATGAAAATTTATTCGAGAATTTCGACTAATATTTTCTACCACGTCTAATGTCTATATGAATGCGATGTGAAGTATATCGAACTTACCAGTTATCTGCGAGCCAGGACTATAGTGCGAGGACGAAGCGACGAGAGTGTAAGGGTTGGACGAAGCGGGTTGCGATCTTGAATCGCCGTGATGTGGCTCGTTGGGACGAGTCGGTTTCACGCAAGTGTCCACCGGTGCTCCATCGTGAAAACCGTCCACGAAAAGTGCACAGGAGACCACCACTAGGGCGTAGATCGTTAGGTTTATCGTAACCAAACTCATTCTTGTTGCCTCGAGTTCCTTTTGAGCGCGTCGCCCTTCGAAATAATTCGAAATTAATTTTGAATGTTAACTGAAAGATAATTAAGATTCTTGGAATTGACTTCTATATCGCTAGCCTCTAGTAAAAACGTTCTTTTTTTTTATTGGGATTTTCATTTACGGTCCTCCGCAGTTAACTAGTATGTACTCAAGGTTGAATTACGCGACCCGTCACGCCTTCTGCTTCGTTGACTTTCTACGAACTTCTGCGACGTCTAGGAAAAACTCATAGAACGCGCCGAATACCGACAACATACGATCCGAGACGAATTTTAGTATAGAATGTTACGAAATATCAACCGCTCGAAATCAGAGAAATTGATTTTGGAGCACTGACCGTTCGGTATCCTCGGGATCTTCCAGAGTTTCTTTACAGTATATTTAAAACGGTAAAAAAAGTTTAGTATATATGGAAGACGTGAAAAAAATGTAAGAAAATCTAATCCTAACGAAAGACGTCACAGAATATCAATATCGTTCAGTGTGTTCACGCAAAAATTGGCTGAAGGGAGAATTGATTCTGATCGAAAATAGTTCGTTTCAATATTTTGGTATCTAATAGTAAAAATGAAATGTTAAATATCGTCGATGTTTTTCATGATGATTATTTACTAAGAGGTGTTTGCTCTAACGAGAATTCAGCGTATCTGTAGAGGAACTCGCTGCCGTTTCCGTACCCACTTCGCGGAAAGCACTTACGGTAATGAAATTAATTTTATCAAAAAGGAAGACGGGATTCGGTGGTGTCGTGTGCGAGGTCGTACAGCTCGAAGGAAACTGAAAGGATCTCCTGAACGCGAGTGAACCGTGGTGGGATCCCACCATAGGATCATAAAAGGCTAGCTCAATTCACTTTTGCTAATTGTCACTTTCACTCCGATCCCTTCGTCGATTTTATAACCGATTGCGTGTCACGTTCCAATCTTTACAATTTTCTAGTCGAGCGCGCGACTTCCTTCGCGTTTTTCGAACCACGTCTTGACCTTCCCCGATCGAAACACTTTGGAGCTTTGAATTTTCGAACGCATTCGAAAACAAATTCACAAGGATGAGAATTAGTAAAATCACTCACTTGTTAATTTTATCCCTACCCCTAGGGAACACCGAACCAAAATGAAAAAAACCAAGTATATAAAAGGAAAGATGCTTCTAAATGATATTTTTAATTAGTCTATAGGTAGACATAAACATAAATATAAAGATAAATATAAGCATGAAGGAAACGTATAATTTTTTAATTTTTAAAAATGCAAACACTTATCTAGTATTAACATTCATTTTTTCCAGGAGACAGGGATAGATTTGTTATATTTTATTGCCACCTTTTAAGCCAAATTTTTTATTTCCTTTGTTGTCATACTATAATTGATAGCGGATAAGTACAAAAGATATTCTTGTGAAACTATTTCCCCTTCCTTTGAAAATACCCTTTTTGTCAATGTATAACACACAGAAGGTGGGTCAGCTTTACCCTCTACAATTATATTTTTCTACCTTCCGATATGTCGAAACGATGTTACCTAGCATAGTGTAACCGATTTTACGGCCTGACTAAGATAAGATTTTTTTTTTATAATCTCTTCTGCAGCTAATTTATACAATTCTGCAGAAGCCAGCCCACAGTCTGTCTTCCTTTTGCGAATAGTTTTAGCACAAAAGAACGTCGAAAGCATAAATCGGGACAAAATTAAACAACTTGTTACTTTTATTATCTTACTAACTTATTATCATGAAAAATGTTATGTCTATCTGAAAATATATTAATTATTTAATATAACACAAAAACATTCTGAGGATTTTACGGAATTGAATCAAAACGATACATAATTAAAAGACATAATGTGCAAACTTACTTTTGGTGTATTTTTTCAATATAGGGTGGTCGTATGTATTAGGAAAACCGCTTACTGCTGCATCTGGGCGGCAACTGAAGTAGATGATGGGTGGAATCTGTGCATAAACATTGGAGGAGAACATAGACATAGTCAGGTTATTAGTCGGGGGAGGGGCAATTTAATTTTTGTCTTCTAGAGTAGGGCAAATGCCACTTTTTTACATCCAGAAAGCACTTGCTCCCCCCTCACCCCCTAGCTATACCCATAGAAAAGAGGATTGTTGGTCAATTGGTATTTGTTTTATAACAGTTGTTACATTCGTCCCGTATTACGTTTGTCTCGAGTCTCCGATACGATCGCTTATACAACAGGAACTTTATATTCTATTTCTGTGAATTCATACACTTTACGATCTTATTTACAATAGTGAAACTCAATTCCTCTGTTAACAAATTGACTCATGAGACTGAAGTCCTGTTTTAACAAAACGGTTATTGTATGAATTAAGATTCATTTTTTAATCTTATTACATTTTCTGAATCTCAGTTTAATTTATTTTATTTAATACGTACTAAATTATTGTTGTTTTCAAATGAAATCTTATGATCGGAGTTGACGGAAAAGAATTATTGAAGCAGTAAAAAAGAAAAAAGAATGCCATCGCATGTAATTTTCGTTCTTATTAAATGGATTCGTGGAACAGAAGAATGTGCACGGATCACGCATGATACACGTTTGTACGAAAGCATGGTGCGTTCCCTCAGTCACTGTTACTTTTCAGAGTGGTATTGATTTTCCACGAGTTTTCAGGGCAACGGAAATAAAGCAGAGTAATGTTCGTCGCAATAAAAATGCGTAGAACGTGGTTCGCAGTCGTTTATTCGTGAATTATAAACTGCTGATAAAAACATACGTAATACGATGTTTGACATTACAGGCATCGGTGTAGTGGCTGATTTTGACCATTAAAAATAAAAGAAAACAATGTAGTTCCATACTGTCGCCATTTTTGTTATACAAAGTTAAAAAAACAGCATGTATTATTTAATAATTATTTACAATGGTCCTAGTTATATTTAAAGTATATACATGCAATTGTGTACCGAACACAACGATCTTCTTGTAAGTATACAAAAATATGAAAAGGTTTATTCGTTACACAGATTTCCAGACATAAGTTACACGTTACGAAGCAGAGATGTATTGGGATCTCTTTTTGTACTAATTTTCTCGGCTATGAAATGCAAGTTTCTTATTAGCACAATATATACGTCGATTGATGCTCGAAGAGCCTCGAAGGTTTGTCTACGTAAAACTTATCCCGCATTAGACCATTGACGTTTCAAAAAACATTTACTCATCGACGAAACTTGCATACAAAACACTAGAGAAACATATCACCATTCGCTCAATAACACATTTATAAATATGTTGAAGTTCTACGTGGAAACAAGGAATGTTTCAATCCGACGTCGTCGAAGGAAAAGAATACGCGTCGTTTTCAATCACTTCGATCGCGCAAGGTCGTGGGAACCAACCCTTATTTCGCATATGCTTCTCGTTCTGATCATCCTCTTTTCTCTCTCCAAACAACCAATATCTACAAAAGAATTTGTTATTGCCCTTAATATGTAACCTTATATAATAACCTACAGGAAAAAATCTTGCAATGTGAAACGATTTTGTTATAACAATACTATATAATTAAATAATCGGTAATTTGAAAGACTTGAAACATACTTTCTCCATCTTGTCACAATCACAATGTCCCCAACTTTAAGCTTAATACGTGGTTCATCGGTACAAGGTGGATGGCAAAATACACCCCAACCATGTCTAAATGGTAATCGTGATCCAGATACATCTTCTATGATTCTGTAAGTTTTAGCTCTCTTTCGTTTGTCTTTCTTTTGTGCTAATTGTTCTAGCTGAAATATGAAAATAATCACGCTTCAAATTTTAATTGAGTCCCTTAGCAAAGAATTCTACTTGTGGATGAATGTAGAAGAGATTACTGTTAGTGTATATTGATCACAGCCATCGATCACAGGCCAATTAATACCATCCCCAACTGGTGTGCAATCCCATGTAAGAACATGTTGTACATTAAAACGCCATCCTTTAGAATATGGGTAAATAAATTTATCTTTAGTACCAAATCTTCTGTAATGGGCCTTTTCTGTAATCCAAGCTTCGATTTCTGTTCGATTTCTAATTATAGCCAACAACTGCAAAAATTTGACATATAGTTATCTGTCTATCACTATAAATAGAATGATAAAATCAAACTTTTACCTGAAAATAAAGTAAGGTCCCTACAGCAAGAACAACACCAATGGACAAACCAATACTAACGATTACTAATATTAGAATGAACACAGAAGGTGGAGGAAATGATAATGGTTTTAAAGATAGCACAGTCATCACCCAAGAAACTAAGGTGAAAGTAGAAACACTGCAACCACCTACTCCACTTGCCAAAAAAGCTGTAAAATGTCCATGATTATAATGTCCCACACAATTGTTTATCCATGGACAGTGATGGTCCATCTTCATCACACAACGACCACCTGAAAATTAGGAGTTAAAGAAATATATTAAATCATCAGCAATAATTAAATCAATAGAATCTCACACTTTCTGCAATGATGAGTTCTTGGTGCTTTGTAGCCTTCACATACAAAACAATATTGTAAAAACTGTGTATCTGTTGCTCTGTTCTGAAATGATAAATGCATAACATGAATTTAATGTAAATACATGAAGTAAATATATTAAAATGTACATGTATAGTACCGGCATCCATTTTAAGGGAAGGAATCCAGGCCCTTCATAAATGGAGCTGATGAAATGGAAAAGAGTCGATCCACTGAGACAAAAGAAAAGTGTAAAATTAATTGCTCCAAACAAACTTTCCTGTGGTGGCCAACACTGTCTACTACAATGTATTGTCATCAATGTGATTACTTTTATAATTCCTAAAACACATAATGAACAAGATTATATTAATGATATTAATATCTACATATAAAAATTCATAGTTACATAAGTAAATACATTGAAGGATAATTTAAATTTCGCGGGTCTCTGTCGTACGTAAGCATATGAAACAAAATGGAAGCAGTTATCTGTCAAGTTCATCATCATATATTCCCGTTCAATTTCTTCTAAGCACAGTGGTAGAATTCAACCGAGGTGTAAACATTTTACTCAAAATAATAACGTTTTTAAGTATCCATGCGAATACAAATGTTCGTTCCCATTAAATATCATAAAGTATGGATGTAAACTGATATCTTCGATACACATACCGAGAGCAGTAAGCGGCCCCCAATGGCATATTTTCTTTAACGGATTAACACCCATGTCGTCACCATGAAACTGTCATAAAATAGCCTTTGAATTCTGAAAAACAGGTATTTAATACGACTGCTTCGAACGAACAATCCTTCTGATCGTTTATTAAATCGGTAGAAGTATGTTTCTCTCGGCAACACATTCCGTTACAGTTCATATGCCTCAATGTTGGCACCAATGGTGAATATTTTTCAACATCGACGATTCTTCCTTCTAGCAGCTTCGAGTTAAATGAAAATTTTCCCTGCTTAGTAATTACATTTTCGACAACATTTGCATATTTCATGACATTTTTTATTATATTTTAATTGTATAAATAAATTGAACTTTAGGAAAAGAGTTTGCAATTTCTAATTGAATAATACTAGTCTTATGGACTTAGTATGCGACCGTTTCGAAAAAGCATGTTTATTATCGTGTCTAGTATTCAGTAGTCTTGTTACAAGAAATAATTAGGTTTCCTTAATTAGGAAGAATGCTTGAGTTCCAAAGTTATTTTAATTGAGTAAAAATTTAATGTTACGAAATTCCGAAGACCAAACGCGCCATAATTTTGTACATATATAGATATTTATATAGATCGTTTCTGCGCGACCATAACATTTATTACAATTCAGGATAATTGATAAATAAAATAAATTATTATATAACTTTTACAAGCGGAAGTTTTTATTATCAATGTAATTAATAGATACGTAGAAATAATAACATAATAAAAAGTATCATAGTCTCTTGAATTATATGAAAATCTTAAGAAAATAATATGTAAGCACAGCAATGAGATTGTTATAACTTTAAAAGTAGTCGAAGTTCCATGTATACCGGTGTTGTATTTCCCGCATCAATTTTCAAATTACACATAGTAATTTATTACTTTTTTTTCGCACATGAAGTGTGTTTGATTGCAGGATAGCCAATACGAAATGTCGAAAAATATAATTCACGAAATGTTTATGTATGTTTATAGAATATTTACAACAGAATCCTTATATGTGCATACGTAAGTTAAGAGCTGCTACGAAACAATGTGTTTCTGTCAGTTACATAATGTATACGAAAACTGACCGAAACGTACTGTTTGTATATATACAGTTCCTTGAGATACAACCTCAAATATCAACAGTAATGTAATTGTCACTCACAAGTGCTTTTCAAAAAATAACGTTCGGTTAAATTCAATTATATAAATCGAGTTAGGAATGATTTGTAAAATTTGATAATTTTGGAAATAAAATACTCTTCCAAGGCATTTGTCTGAAAGTGTACAATTAACTTTTTTGATGACTGTGTAAACATGAAGGATCTCGATGTATGTATATATATTTATTATTTGGGGAACGAATATGAATACTTGTACGGGTGATAGAATGTTTTTGTAGAAAATTATTTGAACAGTTATCAATAGAATGTACGTAACAAAAATCTTTTTCAGCTTAAAAATGAAGTATTAGAATGTTTTCAACCACCTGTTCCTAAAGCACGACGACCTTTAAGAAAATTTAATACATTTACAGGGAACAATCATCCTTATCATTTAAAAAATTCTGATAATTCATCAATAATGAGGACTGTGTGCGATATCAAAGAACAAACTAAGAACTTTCTTGATCATGCTAATGATGATGATTACAGTGATGATGAGGATGATTATAGTGATGATGTGGATGATTATAGTGATGATGCCAATAACAAATCATTAAATAATCTATCACAAAGCTTCACACCAGAATGTCCTTTTTCTAGTACACGTAATTCTTCTCTAACAACACAAGTGCGTGAAAGAAGCTTTCAAAGTATAAATACAAGTCGATCTTTCAATATTACTAGCACTTCTTTGAGTAGCTATAGCCAAGTACCTATAGTTCAAAGTCAGTCTAAAAAAATAGATAAAAATTACAATAATTTATTTTGTACAAGTCTTGCTATCATTATAGTTCTATGTATATTTTTCTATATATTAATCCATAATGAAGCAACTCAATCAGAAACAAGTAATATAGATTTAGTTACAATAGATAAACTATTAGATGAACGAATGCATATTGTTCAGACACAATTTAATCACCAAAAATCGAATATCTGGAATGATATAGCATCTGGTATATATGATGCAGTTTTATATCCTGAGAAACCAACAGTTATTACATTGTTTGGAAATGAAATAGATACTTTGAATTGCTTAGCACAAATGCTTGGAGAAGTAAGTGGTACAATTTTAGGTAGCAATGATTACTTAAGTTTAACACCCAAAGATTTTCCAAATGATGTTGGAGAAACTATTTATAACTTCAAAGTAAAGATTTCACAAAAGCGGGTAGTAGTAAGTAGTTCCTTAAAGTCTTGTATTTTCCGTAGAAGGTAGATAGTAGTTTCTCTTACTGGTTATGTTACATTGAATTATTATTTTTTTTTCATGTTCTAGATCATTCAAGATTTATTGAGTATCAATACAGAAGCAATAAAAGCGTTTCATAACTTCTGTGACAGACAAAGACCCTTGATTAAAAAAGCTATTTATATAATAACAATAATTATTGATGAATACAAGCCATCGCAAAGTGAATTAGAATTCATTGACAAGCAAATATTTAAAAAATTATCAGGGAAAATAGATAAAGATATTCTGGATCCTTTGGTAACTAGGCTGACTGATGGAGTTATTGTGCCAGTATTACCAGAGTCAAGTACACGTTTCAATATGAAAAAATGCTTGGTTTCTAAATATAACAGACTGTGATTTTCTAGGAAGTTGTGCAACGTGTGATTAAACTATAAGATTAATAAATTGCACAATGGTTATATATAGAATGTATTTTTGTATTAAATGTTGAATAAATACCAATACATGTGTATTAATATTCAACTTTATTTCACTTCGTCAAATGACAGTACAGAAAATCAACATCTTTAGATAGAGATACCCGATAGTGATTTGGCGGTTCCTACAAATTTTCAAAAAATATAACAACAAGATCGATGCCTCTGGCATGATTTCAATTTACGCTCTTAAGTGACATATGTCTTCAGCTTTAAAGTAAAATACAATGAGTAGGTTCACTTTGTATGTGTCACATTGTACGTTCGTGTTATCGTGTATGTCGATCTGTGGTCAACGTAACGTTATTCGTATCTCAAATTGCCAATTTACAATGCGTCTTTGACGGAAAAAAAAATTCCGTTTTAATTAAAATCTTCAGATAATTAAACATACAAAAAAAAAACTTTTGAAGAATATCCACAAAGAATTTTAATTTTACAGCCGAACATAATTGAATAAGTTACAAAATTATCATTTTCTTATCAAACTTCGGTAGTTTACTTAAAAGGTACATTTACATATGTAATAAAGGAAGATCAAGCAAATTTATCAATACAATTTGTATCTGAGTATTGATATACAGAATGAAACTCGAAAAATACATCTGAATGTCTGTGATGATTTTAAAAGTATGTAAAAAAGATGCAACTTTTGTTTCATGCATTTTTCTGTACTTTTAAATTGCAACATAGATATTCAGACGTTCCGTGTCTCGTGACTTCACTCTGTATAATAAAGTTTCTAAGATACTTTTATCACATTTTATTTAAAAATAGCATGCGCAACATAAAATGACAAATCTGTTTCCAATATGCTTATATCCTATTTTGGTAAGCATTTTATAAATTGGCAACAAGTACTCGTAAGTGCGCACCTTGCTAAAAATGGCGCCATTAGCAAAGTGGTCGCTCACGGGATTCTTATAATACAGTCCTTTTCTGTCCTAATAATTCAAGTCAGTAACTAAAAGTAGGTAATATATATTTATATTATCTTGTATAATATAGTATGGTACCGTCAAACCTAAATAATAAATACATTTTATACAGTCACAGACCTTTTATACAGAATGTCCAAAATTTCGTATGCTGTACAATCGCAATTCGATCGATCCTCATTATAGCTTGCAAAATTCGAGTTAATGTATAACAAAAATGGAAACGTATTCCCAAAAGATATATGCACAAATAATTTTGTACAAGCATGATCTGTGCAATAGAATTTCTTCAATAGAGAAATCATCTGTTATTTTATAACCACAATTTGATACGACTAATCATTAAACATTTCGCAATTTTCAACGTATTGAAATTACACAGTACAATTTAGTTGTATGCAATATATCGCCGATACGCTATAAAATCATAGTAACCGTTAATTAATATACATGATAGAAATCGGAAAGGAAGTAATAATCGATAATTTGACGTAAACGTTGTTTCGTTTCTTAAGGGCACTCTGTATAGAATAGCCTTAAAATTACAAGATACGTATTTACAGTAAAAAAGTTTAATTGGTCATGTTCCTACCTAGTGTAGTAAGGATGTGAGTACCGCGTTGCGTAATGTTGTCCGTGTTGGCTACGTAGTCGCGTACTTCAGTCGTTAACGTCTTGCCGGTTGTGCAAGTTCTTTTTCGTAATACAGAGTCAGTCATACGTCGTATGAGGCACGGGTGTGCCTCTATATAGCAGTAAATCGTCCTGATCATTGTTTCCGTACTTATCCGTTTCTACTTAAGCGCTAAAGATGTTTGTTAATTTTTTGCTTGTTCAAAGATAAACTGAACGTGTTCCATATTACATATGTTTCATGTTTTATGCATTTTCCGAAAAAGATAAATTGGACCCTGTCCAAATCATTTCAAAGCTCGATTGAAAGCATCGTCCGAAATTTGGCATAGGCGGAACTTAAAACAATGCCAGTTGTGTATGGTGTGTAGATACAAAGTAAGAGAAAACCATTTAAGATAACTGCGTACAAACATTTTTTTATACTCATTTCTCATTGCCAAGAGCAGAAAAAACTGATCACTTCGAGAGGTTATTGATATTATTTCTTTTGCTTTCGGATACAAACGAATTCAATGTATATGTATAAATATACCACTTTTTGCGTCTGATCGATTCTGTAATTTCAGAGATTGTCCCGTTACGAGAACTAACTGTAAACGCAACGAACGAAACAAGATCGAATCCGGAGATACATTCGGAGTCTCAGTTAAAATCAATCCATTAAAACTCGAAGCCTTCAACCGGAAGCTGAGATGAGTCGGTCGTTCCGAATTGAAACTGTTGTCCCTGCGAGTCAATAGTGGGCACGATTCGCGTGTCCTCTTCCTCGGAACCGAAGTATCGTTCGATTATGTCGAAGGCCTTTTGATAAATTTCTATGTTCGAATGAGATTGCAAAAATTCGATTTTGTTTAGGCCTGAAACACCACAATACGGTTTAAACTAAAACCTTCTGTACAAATTGCATTTCCACTAATTTCCTATCCTCTATAATTGTATCACTCACCGTAACATTCCTCGATTGCTAACGCATACTGGTTGATACCGCTGTGTATGGCATCCTGTTCACCGAGACGGAGAATGTTTTCTAAACCGTTCAATGCAACCTGGATGATCTTAGGATCCATCACTGTCAATAAATCGCACAACGGTGGAATGCATCCTTCTTTCACGAGGTAACTGATTTGTTCAGGTGTACCACCACTGGTAGCATTAGTGATTGCCCATGCTGCCTCTTTTCGTGTTTTAAATTCGGCTTTTCCCAAAATGTCAATTAGAACGGGGAATATCTGAACGTCGATGACAGTCTGTGAAAAAATCGACTAATTAAATAATGTCCAGATAACGGCAATAATTCTTGACATTCATAACCTTATGTAATTTATATTTTTATGAAATTTTGTATGAAACATCGAATGCGATACTTATGTGAAGTCAATACGAACCTGAATTTGTTGAGGATTTCCTGCTGTGATGTTAGAGACTGTCCAGCAAGCCTCCTTACGAACCGGATCTCGAGACGAGTTTAAGAGATGTAGCAGACAAGTCAGCACATTACAGTTGAGAACGACTTGCGTTTGTACGTCGTCTCCCGTCACTATGTTTCCCACTGCGCGGAGAGCTGCGCTTATTACGTTATTCTGCTCATGCCTGATGTTTACAATTTTCTTATCGTTAATATACGCCAAAATTATGTTATATTATACACATAATATACAAATTTAGAAGCTTACATAAGTAATTCGACCAGACGCCTGCATACACCCGCATCTATAACCGCTTGAATCTTGTCATTCGGACCGTCACTTAAATAAGAGAGAGCCCAACAAGCATCAGCGAGAACGTCGCTGTCTGAATGATTAAGAACATGTGCTAGAACCGGTAGACATGGGGCGACTTTCTCGAAAACCGGCACCGGATTCTTGCCCCGACAAAGATTCGATAATGCCCATACCGCGTTACGCGTCATTGTAAGTCGCGTTGGCTTAGTAAGTATTCTAAAAAATGGATGACAATGATTCAGTTGAATGGAATAAAGATGAGAAATGAAACATTTTCCTAAGTCCTCTGTTAAGTTCATACCATAATATTTCTGCAGCTAATTTTAAGAAAGGTGTATTTAGAAGACATCTGAGAATATATCTATAGATTTTTACAAAATTTTTTAAATATGTAAAACACATGAAAATCGGATTGATAAATAACTCATGGTATCATTTGATAATTCAGAGAATTTTTGTGCCATGGCAGGGTTAATAAAATTAGAAGTAATAGGATTGATATGTTTAAAACATAAACATAAGTAACTCACCGAGTTATCTATTATTCTTATAAAAACTTACTGTAGAAGAGGAGCGAGAATCCCACTGTCTAATACATGGTCTCTACACTCAGGACTGTCTCCTGCGATATTGCCCAATGCCCATACGGATTGCTCCTGAACGTCTTCCGATTCGCAACTAAGTAACGATATAAAGACGGGCACAGCCCCAGCCTCTATAACTACGTGCGTTTGTTGAGACGTTCCACTCGCTATATTTGTTAAAGCCCAAGCAGCTTCAAACTGAAATTATCATGTACAGTCTAGTTTCATGTATATAAAATGTAGCTATACAGAATATTTTCAAGTGTACCAACTTGTAGAGTACAGTTTGTACTATTTTTTAACAATTCCACGAATCTAGGTACAATTCCTGTTCCTACAACTTCTCCTATGGGTGGATTCGGCTCCCTTGATAACATTTTTCTAAACTTTTGAGAAGCTGACAATTGTTTTTCAGGATCAGGACTATATAATGCCTGAACCATTTCAGGTGTAATAGACGGAGATTGCTACAAATACACAATTTTTATTTAACTCAATTACATGACTATAAATAGACTTGTGAATCCTTTTTGGTGTTATTGACTCATAATTAGAAGGAAGTACCGATTGAGGTGTTGGAACTAATGATTCATCTGTTGCAATAGTGTCCTCATCAGCATCAATGTTAGGAACATTGCGCCTCTTTGACAATTGTTGCTCTCTTTTCTGTTTTCTTAATTGCACACCTTCCTCCTCCCTGCGTCTCCTTAATTCTTGTGAGTCTAGTCCCGCATTTTTGTAACGGTATTTATGTGTGGTTGCAGTTGACATCTAAAAACAAGAATAACATACAGGGTGTTAATAAAAGTGTAGAACACTTTCACAGGGTGTATTCTACATGCCAAACTTGAACGAAAATCAAGAATGACGAAACTACGTTCGAAGTTTCGTTTTGGAGTTATTAATTATTGAAAATATAGACGAAATGCGTGTAAAATACGTTTGATGCGACCGGTTATTCTACTTGAAAACCGTGCTTTCCCAATGTTTCACGAGTTGGTTTCATTCATCCCATTTTATTTAATTTAGTTTCACTAGGTCATCAATCGAACTCGTGTATCAGCTGGGAATCGGCTGTTCGAGTAGTATAACTCGTCGCGTCAAATGTATTTCATGCGTATTTTACTCGTATTTTCAACAATACCTCGAAAATGAAGCCACGAACCCGATTTCGTCGTTCGTGACTTTCGTTTTAGTTTGCCATGTACAATTCACTCTGTAATAGTGTCCCACAGTTTTATAAACACCCTCTGCATAATTCGTGGATAAATAATAAGGTGCATAAATATTCGTTGTTTGATCAGATATTAAGCAAGACGTTACTGTATTTGAAATTTGACAATGAATTAAATATTAAATTACAGAAGTATTTGATATTCCACAGTATTATTGAGTGCACAATACAAGTGTATTTGAATATTTCATTATCATAGATTACAAACTGCTTTTCTCAATTTATTTGAATATTCAATACGAGTATTTGCCAGTTCAGATATATTTCAATTACAAAACCATTCATATGTGACCATCTCTGGATCCAAGAATACCTTGAGACTGCCTGACAATGGGCTATTGAGGGTTAGGTATTAATCGGCAGCGATGGTCGGGGGTGGGGTGTATCTTCTCGAAGATACTGCTTTGGTAGCGTGATGCGGTGAAAACCGTATTACCGCACAATTCTACGTCTTTACCTTCGAGAGATTCTATATTCTATAACAGACTAGCTAAAATCGGACATTTTTGGCATAGACGGGGGATAGAAAGAGTGACGTTCGCCTGGAATCGTCTCTCGTTCTCTCTGATTATAACGTCGCAGCCATGCGATTCCAGGGACGATCTAAAGGCGTTAGATAATCGAGTTATTACTTACGGCTGTGAAAGGAGTTCGTTCGTTAAATATAAGATTTCATAAAGAACAGTAAAGCGAGCACCGCCACACTTTTCACCTCCTCAAACTACGACGACCGATCGGGAAACCTTGGTCTGTACGATCTGTACTCCAACGCGCAAGGAATCACGGGTCACACTCGCGAAACGCTGATAGGTCCGTTCGAACAGTCATATTTATCTAACTTTTTCCAATTTCACTTGGCTAATTTTGTCGCGTCTGTAGAACCTTCTTAAATTGTCTCGACTACACAGCCTCAGTAAACCATATAAGAGAACTCTCAAAGGGATCGATATTCCCAAAAATTATTCGTGTTTCCTCCAATGTAGTAAAATTCGAGAAACTTTCTTAATGGCGGTACCCTCGCGAGCAAACTCGGCTTCCGTTAGGGGAAAAAGTGCCGTAAGAGAAAGGCTTCCTACCACTTGGTAAATTTATTTCAAGTACTGAAACAAATGTTAAATCGCACATTAATTTAACATAAATTTTAGTAATTTCTGATATCAAGTGGTAAGAGGCCCTTACACTTATATACATTGCTTTTTCCCCTAGAGAAAACCGAGTTTGCTCGTCAGTGAATATGCGTTCGAGAAACATTTAGTCCACGGTCATCGAGCCGCTGATTGGTGGACATGCTGGCCGAGCGCGATTGGTGGAGACCTTGTACAATGAGCAGACAAATGGATTCCTTTGAGAACGCTCCAGCGACAAAAGACTGCGTGAATCAACATAGTGCCCGGAAGTTAGGTTCTTTTCTGAATTTAAATAGCAAACCACGTTTACTTGATAAACGGTAATAACAATTTATTAATAATAGATTATTTCATTGCTTGGAAGAGTTAAAAGAATTTTTAATATTATAAAAGACGCAGTTGAAAACATTTTAGTGTTGAAATCTGTTTTAAAGTTGCAACGATCAGTATTTGAATAATATGAATAATTGATCCTGGTGAATAACATAGTTTATCTGATACAATATTGTTTGATATATTATTCGATAATATGTTCTTTTTATTTTAACGTTGTACAATATATATATACATCAGCTGTTAGCATGTATTATTTATTTTCAAACTATAAAATACCTGAACAAATTCTAAAATTATAAGGACTTACCGCGCAGCCATTTCTCTAAAAGATTTGTATAAATATTGAAATTTCGAAGTCATCGCATGTATGGTTGTTTTGTAAGAATTTAACTGTCCTACCACATGAGTGATCTACACAGAAATTGAAAAATTATAAACATTTTATATATTATTTTATTTATAAACATAACGTATATAAAATATTACATCACAAAGACGGGTCAAGAGTATCTTGTTGAAAAAAATGAAGTTTAATACATTATATTTGTAGAATCAACAATTGTAAGAGGCTCGAAACATTTAATGCTTTCGCAACTTTCTCTCTAACCGAGGGGTGTAACTCCTTGGACTTTGGAGGGGAAGGAGGGTTGAGTCTGAATTGAATTTATGTCTGAGGGGTTGTCTTTCAGGTTGCGCGGTAGGACCTCCGAATTCTTTTGTGCTCTCACAAAGCCACCTGTCTCTGACTCAGGTAAAGAAACGAAGGCAAATGATTGTACAGGTAGCAATCATTGGTTCCCGGTGTTCACGAGGCTCCACCCACCTGTCCGCCTATACAACTCCGTTATCATGTCGACGGGACCTGTTTTATGGTCGCCATGGTGTCTTCGTTATATTAGGCGCTACTTTCAACATGGCGGTGAAAAATGAACAAGCGTAACATGAAAAATGCGTTTAATTCAATAAATGGAACACATTTCGTACGCTTTATGATAAATGCTTGTATGACGATGGATTTTCTTCAGGATAAACATTTCATCGTGAAATGGTGTCGGAGCCACTGCAACCGGTTTCCTTCAGGCACAATTTGTAAATTCGAGCCACCTTGTATTGACACTGAACAATCGTTTCTTTCTTCGTTTCAGAAATCACGTTTCCCGAGATATAAGTCTAAGTATTCTAAGCAATAATATATGATCTGAAATGTAAAATAAAAGAAAATCGGACACAACGTGACAGGACATTCTGTTCCATTTAACCCTTGAGTAGGCAATTGGGTACCCGGGCACCCAGGTACCCACTTCTTAATTTCCTTGTACAGTATTTTATGCTTTTGTCTAAAACAGCACTTGGTATATTATAAGAAGAGAAAACTAAGAGTTTCGGAAAAGGGTGGAAGTAAAATTATCTATGTTTATCTAATCTGTCAGAGTAGGGGTATTCCTATTGCTCAATAACCGTGAATATTTTGGTTGCCCACACAAGGGTTAAACGCTCCTACCACTTTTTAAAATATTTCAGCTTATATTTGAAACACTCTCTATAACAACAATATGTAATAATATTCTCGAATGACAAGTGACCGGAAACTTTTGAACTGTAACGTACACGTCCATAGATTCGAATACATATCTTCTACGTCACCCCCTATAGCGTTCTCACGACTCTCCCTGGGGCAAAAGATCTTCGATGGACAGAGCAAAGAACAGAGTAAGCGGTGAACACGACAGAAAGTATTTAGCGGACAGCCAAGGGGTGGCGGCAACGGCGGCGGTGGTGGTGGTGGTGTGGGCTCGTAGAACGCGGAGGGTTGAGGAGCTATCGGGCGTGAATAATGCGCGGCGCCGTCCGTTCCTTGGTCCGTGGGTTCGATTCTGGCTCGGCTGGATGGATTGATAAAGATTAAAGGTAAAGGGAGGTGGCAGGGTCCAGGGGTGTTTTGGAGTTAGGCGACAGAAGTCAGCCCAGCGAAACGAATCGTGCCGCGCACGTATGGAGGGGGATGATGTCACATAGGGGTTCCCCTCCCCCTCGACGTAAATACATACAGATGCAAGCCGGACTGATGCATCGGGGCTTGGGTGTACAGTGACGTAGGCAGAAGGATTTTCGTTGAATTTTGACGTTCAACGAATTCTTGAATTCTTACATATTTGACCACATGGAGTGAAAAGCTGAATTTCCACGGTCATTTTTGATCCTGTTTCCGTCACCTATTGGAGCACAGTGATAGAGCTTGGAATTCGAAAGCCAATGATAATTATTTCAACCGCACATGGCCTGTAGTTTATGAAATATTTAATGTTCAGTGCCGAGAAGTCTTCGAGCATTCATCGAGGATTTACTGTAAACGAATATACACAAGATGATTCCAAATTAAATGTCCATACTTTAACGTGTGGAAACGTGTAGATATCTCCAGTCTGCTTATCAAACGAATGCTTTTCACAACACACAAATTTATTGTTCGATTACAAAAACTTCGATGACTCCGGTAAAACGATAGAGTGATCGGTACCCTATGTAGCGATCGGTACATACATAAATCCAATACAGTATTCTTAGTCTGTTATGTATGTACCTACAATGTACCCGATTTCCTTTCTACTTCACAAACGATTCATCTTCGATTGGATCGTAGATCGAACGAAAAAGAACGGGATTACCTGTTTCCATTTCCTCGGCTGGACGCCGAGTGTCTCCAGGACGTAAAGATTAAAGTGCTTCCTGTTCCTCGGACCGACTCGTACCGATGGAATTCCCGACGATTGCCCGAAATTCCGCAGCGGACCGCCCGCATCCCGACGGCGTCGTCAGGCGACGAATTAATTCGATCTAACGTCGCCGCGTCTGGTAACTGGTAAGCCCGTGTGACCGACATAAACGACCATGCCAAGAAGACACGTCCACGTAATGATCGTCCGTTATTACGATCGTCGTGCGAAGCGAAGACGAGGCGAGGCGAGGGACGCGAGCCAGAACGCGTTTCCCTGTGACCGACGTGCCGCGTGTTCCTTTTATCATCGCGGGTTGAACAAAGGAAAATCGTTACGCGGGAAAGCCGAGCGCGCGACGAAACGACCATTTAAAATGAAATACAATTGCCAGACCGCCAGGCCGGCTAGGCGTTCGGAATAGGAACGATCGACGGCGTCTTTCGCCCTGGTCCGTTTGAAAAATGGAACAGCACTGAGGGGGCGGGGGTAGTCACTTTGAATTACGAAACGACGTCGTTGCGACGCTCAAAACCACCTCGGCCTTTCAGTCTTCTATCCGACGGAATAAGAAACGAACTCAGGTGTTTTGCGATATTTGGGAATAATGCCATGTGCTCGGTTCCGTTGATCACGTTTCGTGGTGCACCCTGTATAATGAATTATACATATAGAAGTATATATAATGTACATAAATTCGAAATCGTCCAATTTGTGATTTGCGATTTCTTCGGAAAATTCATCGGAAGTTTTAGTACGAAAATCATTCAGATTACGATAAATCGCCGAGTCTGGCAATGCTGTTACTGTCATCGAAACGTTCACGAGTGACGAAACACCCTGACAATCGTCACACACCGACAAATCCTTCATGGGGGTTGGTTCTACGCCAATGCTCCCAATGGCTGGATGAGTCACGCGCGATCTTTCTCTCTCTCTCTCTCTCTCTCTCTCTCTCTCTCTCTCTCTGGGCAGCTTCCTTTGCACGGTCCCGTATGGCAGTCGTGCACAATAGGAGAATAGTAAACGCGGTAAAGGTAACTCGCTGAGAACGGGACGGGGCCGGTGGAGGCCTCCCCCCTCTGTGTGTGCGCGTACACCCGCGGGGTCACGTGCCACGATTTTCACCCCCGTGCCGAACGATCGGCCGGCGCGGTTCGTGAGTCTGGATCGCAGCCAGTGATGTGTATTCGAGACACAGAACGCAGAAGCGCAGAATTTTCGAATCGTAAAATTCTCGTATGGTCCTGGCGCCATACGTGGTACGTCTGAAAAACAACAGGATTGACGATATATCGTATTAAATTCGAACAGCCATCGTACACTGCGTGTCATAACTATAAAACCACTCTGAAATTTTCAGTCCTTATGTATTATTGGTTAAAATAAAATCTTTATTTTATATTCAATAGATCTGTTTTTGGGATCGCCTAGGAGTATCCTTGTCACACAATGATAATACACCTGCTTATTCTACCGCGACCATGCGTGAATTTTTAGGCCAGGAAGCAAATAACCGCACTTGCCCCATCCACTTTATTCACCTGATTTGGCTCCCTGTGATTACTTCTGATTTCCATGATTAAAAATTCCAATGAAAATGCTCATACATTCGATAAATTCACGTCTATAGCGTACC